ATATTTTCATAAAATTTGAATTACTTGGAACCTACAGACAAAATTATGCAGAATCCAGACAAAATTAAGGGAAAGCTCACAAATGACAGGCACAGTAATAGAAGCAGCTATGATATTTGATCTTAGATCAATAGTAAAAATCTGTACGAGGAGTAGCAGGTTTGATTACACTATAATGGAGTAGAAACTATTATGACTGAGAAAAAAGTCAATTTCATGGTAAAATAATACACTGACAAATACAGTTAATTCTTCCTTTAGTATGCAATAATTTAATGCCTGTGCACTCTTCATTTAGCTGATAAGGAATAGGGAAGATTTTTTGATGTTCAGCTTCCTCTAGGAGTGCAAAGTAACTTGTGTAATTTGTGAGCAGCTATGTCTAAATATGTCTATTTTTTTTTTAACAGTCATAACTGGGGTGGTTTTTGTATGTCTTTAAGTGTCTGCTATGAGGGTGTCTTCCAACTAGTCTCTCAGTCTCTGGTTTGGTAACCCTGACCCATCCAAACCCACACCCACGTCAAAAGCCAGGATGATAGGATGTTTAAATCATCTAAAAAACATTCAGTGATTACTTATTGTCTGTACCACAGGATAGTTTTTAAATGCTTTCATATTTGATATGAAGATTTCCATGATCTGGCCCTTGACACTATTTTAGTCTCTCTTTCTCTCCCTCCATCCCTTTTCACTCTTATTCACTTGTAATTTGTCCACTCAACACAGCAATCAGGCCATAATGAGTTGCTTCCCTGAAAATTCCAGGCTGTTTCATACCTCCATGCCTCTGTTCCCTCATTCATCTGCCTAACTGCCTCATCCTTTTTCTTATTTATAATTCAAGACCCAGTCCAATAATTATCTCTTCTCTCATGTATTTACCAAGCATTTCTATCTGTTCATTTCTCCTTTCCATGTCTGGTTGAATATGTATCTCTGTCATATGCCCAGGCTCCTATGGACTTGGGCTTATCATTATAACTTGTGCCTATACGAAATGTCAGTAGGATTAGAGAACATTTCCTAAAATAGTCAGAAATTTTAAATGTAAAAAGAGGTGGTGAGTCCAAAATCTGGTATTCTTCATCTCTGTATGACAGCGTAATGGTTATAAGCCTATCTTTGCATTCAGACAGACCTTGGCTTTTTTTTTTTTTTAATATATAACAGCGTAATGGTTATAAGCCTATCTTTGCATTCAGACAGACCTTGGCTTTTTTTTTTTTTTTTTTAATCTATAACTTAGAAATGGTAATCTAAGTCAGTGTCTTCTATGGAATTAAATTAACAATAACTCATTAGTATTGTAGTGTGTATTAAGTGGGATAGTGTGTGAAAAGTACTTAGCAAACTTCCTGGCACCTAGTAAGTGCTCAAAAGATTATTGTTAGAGAATTTTCTGGACTGATTGCTTAGGCTTCACATTAAAACTAATCAAACCATAACCCTACCAAATTCTTGCCCAGTGCCGTGTCCTTAGCTGTGAGAAGGATGCCTGTAAACATCTCAAGTTTTCCCCATTTTAGTAAATGGTATCACTTTCTGTAATAAGCTTATATATGAGATTCCTCCTTGATTTCTCTTTTTCCTTTACCCACATATTCAATCCATTCACTTAATGTTAAAGATTCTTCTAAAATGTATATTATATCAGCCCACTTCTCTGAAACCACTGTAGTAGTCAGGGTTACCGTTGACTTCTCTGAATAGTGCCCAGTGAGTTTCACAACTCCCACTCTTCTTTCCATGGAGTCTTTGGCGATGACAGAGTTATCTTTCCAGTGCAAAAATCATACCATGCCCATATTCACCTTCACTTGCTCCTCATTGTATTTAGAACACTATTCAAATCCTTTATTAAACCCATGAGGCCTTGCACATTTTGGCCCTGCCCACCTTTCCTACATGTTCCTCTGCGCCCTCCCCATCCATCACTGCACAGCAGTGGTGGCCTCATTTCAGAGCAGCATTCTTTCAGCTCAGCTCTTCAAAGGGCTGGGGCCCTGGAACCCTTCTCTGCTTGAAGGTCACTCCTCCTTGGTCAGAGGACTTTCCCTGATCACATTAGCATCATTTTGTTTTCTAAAAACTTCATAGAAAATGTCTCAAATTTTATTATATATTTCTATCTTTGTTTATTTTTTTAAAAAATACCCAGAGACTCTCACCCCCACCTGCAGGAATGGAAAGCTTTCTGAGAAGAAGCCCATATTTCTTTTCCTCCCACTCTAATTAGTTCATAGCATTTACTCCCCTCCCTAATACTGCCCATACCTACCTTTTTAATGCTCTATTATGGGGTAAGCGCCCCTTCACACTTATTGTTATTTATAGCTCAGATAAAATTTCACTTACATTATTTCATTTGGATTTTGATTCACAGAAATATAAGCTGAATGAATATTAATATTTACTATTTACAGAGGAGGATATTGGATTTCAGAGAGGATAATATTTCAAGGTGATATAACAGACATGGTCCAAGTCTTTAATACTGAAAAGTATGACTCTTCCCATCTCACTTTCTCATGTACCTCACTGTTGATGACAGCTATGACTCCATCTCCATGGATGGCAGAGAAAAAGAAAGTAATAGCAGGTGAGGGATATCTGAGTGTTAAGGAAGAACTTCCAGAGCTCTGGGTAGATGATGAGCCAGGTGTATTCTTTGTAACTGGCGAGGTAACGTGGAGGTTTGCCAATGTTAAATTCAGGGAAGGTCGTGAAGGACAGTATAGGATGTTAGACAGTGCATGGGCTTTAGACTTAGACTTGAATGTGATACCACTCTAAGACTCAGTTTATTCATCATATAATAATACATATAAAGAGGCTATGTGTGAATTAAGTTACATTATGTGCATAACGTATCCAGTGTATGGATTACCCTATAATATATTTTTACTAAATGGTGTTTGTTACTGTTATTGCTAGTCAGGGAAGGCAAAGGGTGGAAGATTCTAACTGGACCATGGAGCCTGACCAAGTGATTTTTTTCCTCCAGGAGAGCTAAGCCCTGTGTCTCTAATATGGAAGTGGAGAACCAGACAAGAGTCACCAAGTTTATTCTGGTGGGGTTCCCTGGGAACTGGGGCATGCGTGCAGCTGTGTTCCTCATGTTCCTCATGGCCTATATTTTGACAGTGGCTGAAAACGTCATCATCATCCTATTGGTGCAGCAGAACCGGCCGCTGCACAAGCCTATGTACTTCTTTCTGGCCAACCTGTCCTTCCTGGAAACCTGGTACATCTCAGTTACTGTACCCAAATTGCTGTTTAGTTTTTGGTCTGTGAGCAATAGCATCTCCTTCACTCACTGTATGATACAGCTTTACTTCTTTATTGCGCTCATGTGCACAGAGTGTGTGCTTCTGGCTGCCATGGCCTATGACCGTTATGTGGCCATCTGCCGCCCACTCCACTACCCCACCATTATGAGCCATGGGCTCTGCTTCCGCCTGGCTTTTGCTTCCTGGGCCATTGGCTTTGGCATCTCCTTGGCTAAGATCTACTTCATCTCTCGCCTCAGCTTCTGTGGCCCCAATGTCATCAATCACTTCTTCTGTGACATCTCTCCAGTACTTAACCTCTCCTGCACAGACATGTCCATAGCTGAGTTGGTGGACTTTGTCCTGGCGCTGGTCATCTTCCTCTTTCCCCTGTCTATCACAGTCCTGTCCTATGGATGCATTCTGGCCACTGTTCTACGCATGCCCACAGGAAAGCAGAAAGCCTTCTCTACTTGTGCCTCCCACCTCGTGGTGGTCACCATCTTCTATTCTGCCACAATATTTATGTATGCCCGGCCCCGAGCCATCCACGCCTTCAACATGAACAAAGTCATTTCCATCTTCTATGCCATTGTCACCCCTGCTTTCAATCCTTTCATTTATTGCCTAAGGAACCGAGAGGTCAAAGAGGCTCTGAAGAAACTAATCTATTGCCAGGCCATCCGATCCGACTAGTCTATTACAAATGATTAGAAAGAAATGACTTGATTTGGTGCCTGATCTTTCATTCTCTGTCCTTTCTTTTTTAATGCCTCAGCTGTATATGACTGATGTTACCAGAATATCACAACACCCCTGTCAACCATAGGCTCTTGGTTGTGTCCCGAGGTCTGTATCTGTGTATGTTGTCTGTGCTTTACAAAAATGCCCTTGTATAGAGGATTCTCTTTGGCTATGACCCAAAATGGGGTTTCTAAGACTGTGAGTAATTCTAAACTGAGTTAAGTGGGGGAGAGATATGGCAGCGTATGAGTTACCTTTTTGGGGATCTAGCACACGTTAAGGGCTTGGAAGCCAACAGATTGGTGATGGCTCTCTGACTTCCCAGCTTCCTAACTGAGACAGATTTAGCAGCTTCTCCAGCAGCCCCATTCAGGGTGTTGAGCTGGGAGTCAGTCTTGGTAGCAGAGACTGGAGACTTCTCCTCTAGGCCTTTCAACTGTTTTTGTTAGCACCCAGTTTCCTGTATGAAACACCTTTCTGTTTCAGATAGCGAGAGTGCTTTCTGTTATCTGTATGTGAACAATGCCTTATACAATTATATTTTGTCTTCCGATGTAACTTATGCAGTTGCTTTGTATTGACTTTCTCATTTCCCTTCTACATGTCACAATTTGTTTGTATCCTTTAGTGGATGAGCAAATAAATAATAAGTAAATAAATATCATCAAATATATTATTTGCTGAATGAAACTTGCCCTCATCAGTCAGCTTTTCTTCTGAGCTCAATGTTCTCTCATTCCTCTTCATTTTTCTTTTATTTCCCCTGGCCTTCACTTTCTCACCATATACCTCATATACAAGCAGTGAGCCTAATTTTAGGATTTGACAGATTTTCATTTTATGCCACAGTGACTCTCAACTCTCTCACTTGTTTATCTCACACTTTACCCATGTATGCTAGTCCTTTCTTATCAAACCATGCCCACACACCCACAGAAGGTTATATAGATATGTCCTCTTTGGTTCATTGTTCTGCCAGTGACAAACATATCTATACTTTAAGCCATATTCTATAACATGCTTATTTAAATATTTCTTCGGAATGGTTAAAAATAGAATAGCTTTTAGCATTTGCAGCATCTTTCATCTAAGAGCGAATAACATTTTCAAGAATGTTTTCTCTCTTGCAGAGGAATTAGGTGGAATTCTTTGCTATGTTTTATAAACTTTGAGAACAGAAGCTTAAGGAAGTAAATAATGTACATTCACTGACAGTGGGGAGCTGAGGTCAAAAGCCCAGGTGTCTTGATTCTGAGCCCTGGGTCCGTCCTTAGCTCGTGGATCTCCCCAGAGAGAGAAAAACACTTCTTCAGCAAGCAGAGTTTGGAAGTAAATTGTACAGGGACATGGTTGGAATCATCAATTACTATACCTGGAGAACGGTTAGTAAAATAAAAATGAAGAAATGTGAAGTTTAGTCCTCAGGAAAGAAAAGAAAGATAAAATGCAAGCCTATCTCACTTTAGAGAATGTACAACGAAGTGGTTGTGAATATATATATTTCTATTTAAAACTCAAACATCAAAAGAAAAGTGATTATTTTCTGAGACAATTTTTGTGATAACATAGTGGCACAGGCATGTAGAGCTATGAAATAATGTGCATG